GACTGATCGGTGACTGATCGATGACTGCTGATTGATCGCTAAAATAGTAACGCCTAAAGTTGCAAGTACTGTATGGGCAATTACTCCAAAACAGGTTAACAGGTTTTTCTCCAATTTTAAGGGTAGATACATCTTGTTGTGCTCAACCGTTTTTGCAATTTACACTTTTCAACTAGTTATTATAGTTTTCATGATAACAGCCAACAACTGCTAAAAATTAGAAAATAAAATTTGTAAGGGTTCCGCTGAACCCAGTGTCTCGCCTACTTTTGCTGTTGTCTATGTTTTCAGTGTGATAGAGGAATGCACATAATAGATTTACAGTTAATAAAATTAAACGTTTGAAATGTAAGAAAAAAGTTATGCTTGTAAAAAATGAATACAGGAAGCAATCAAATCTATAGATTTATAAAAGAGTTGAAACATAAATTTATTAAATGAACAAGTGATAAAGATGATCTTATGATTGTAAGAAGCTTCTGTCCAAGTTTGGTAAAAATCCAGGATGGTTTATGAATCTAATAAATGTTTTAAAAACTTTAACTGCAGACTGTATGTAGTGTTAACTGGAAGAAAAACTAAGTCCATTTATAAGTAATATATGGAAAAACAGGAAATAAATTTTTACAAAACTTCCTTCTAGATACTAGCTTTTGATCATAAACAAGCTTCTGTCCAAGTTTGGTATAAATCCAGGATAGTTTAAGAAAGTTATTTACAAAATTTACTTCTGGATTCTATCTTATGATCATAAACAAGCTTCTGTCTATTTATAAGTAAAATACGGATAAACAGGATTTTTTTTCCTTCTGTCCAAGTTTGTTAGAAATTCAGGAGAGTTTAAGAAAGTTATTAAAATTTCAAAACTTTAACCACAGAGTGAATGTAATGTTAACTGGCAGAAAAACTAAGTCCATTTATAAGTAAAATATGGATAAACAGGATTTTTTTTTTTTACAAAATTTACTTCTGGATTCTATCTTATGATCATAAACAAGCTTCTGTCCAAGTTTGGTAGAAATCCAGGATAGTTTAAGAAAGTTATTAAAATATCAAAAACTTTAATCACAGAGTGAATATTTGTGGCCGCTGCCACCGACGACGGAATGTAGGATCGCCATGTCTCGCTTTTGCGACTAAAGTCGCAGGCTTGACAAAAATAGATTTTTCAGGGACAATATCTCCTAAACAAGTAGTCAATGGCAATCATACCTTGACTCCTCATTTTCATATAGTTAGTTTTTTATTCAAATTTTCCGGGTAAATAAATCTTGTCATACTGATAATTTTTGCAATTTACACTTTTAACCTAAATATGGGCCGTTTTTGATAATACAATGCACATGCATCAAGTACTAGCATCATAAATTCATGCAATATTACTGAAATCTCACAATTCTAGCATTTGTGCTAATTTTAAGTCGGTTTTTGCCTAAAATGGAAGTGGCCGCATTTGTGTTCAGTCTTAATATTTAAATATATGTTGTATTTGATGATAATACATAATATATATAAAGGTTGAGACTGACCACAAATGCGGCCACTTACATTTTAGACATAAACCATCTGAAAAGTGACATTTTATGGCATATTTGATAGATTTTTCATATTTAAGCTTGAATTTGAGCGTCTTTAATGACCAAATCAGTTCAAATCTTTTACATAAACCAATTGAATCGATTGAAGTAGACACTTAAGTGTTTAGAAAATATCAAAAATCTTTCAACAGATGTACTTCAAATTTTAGGCCAAAACTAGCCCTTACCAGACCTTCTCCTTTATTATATCAGGGGCATTAACTCCAAATAGGGTTGACCGATTGGCCTGAAAATTTCGTGGCAGATAAGCCTTAGCATGCTAATCATTTATACCCATGTCAGTTTTGCTTTTACTGCTTTAGTTTTTGAGATATAAGCCCCAAAACTACATTTTACCCATATGTTCTATTTTCAGCCATAGCATTCATGTTCACTAGTAAATGAAGCTTAGTCTTAAACAGACATTCTGATCTTAACATCATCTGAAAAGTCTGAATAAGAAATTATTCAGTCATGTTAAGTCTTTCAGTCAATTTTCAGACTTATCCACTGTGGTAAAATCAGTACTGTTCATAAAATTTCCTTGTAGTCAATTCAGTGTTGTTCAGTACCTTTTCAAACAATTGAGTGTGATGTTAATGTGAACAGGTAACTAACAACTGCATAACAGTCTTAACATAGACTGAACAGATCTTAATTGACTGCAATCGAATTGTCTGCAGTCCTGAATTTAATGCAGTGGCTTAGTCTAAAAATTACTTAATGATTCAGGGGTTAAAAAAATTTGTTACAGCTCACTAGCCCAGGACTTATTGGTAGCAGGATTTTACTAGCCCTGTTGAAAGAGCTGCTAGCCCATCAAAACTGACCTGCTAGCCCGAGTATACCTTACAAATTTAGAGTGGGTGTCCCTTGTTTTGAATGCAGCATTATACACGGTATTTGATAAAATAAATCAAATAAATTTTTGTTTTATTAATTATAACAAGGATCTCTAGACATCTTTTTGGATATCCCTTGTACTATGGGTTGTTAAATATTTTCGGGCACAGAATACATGTTTATTGATCTTGTCATGTGAAACCAGTGGTTCAAATCGTATATGTGTTGTTCCCACATACAAAGCAGACTTTTTATCAGCGTGATCAGAAAAATAACGGCAATATTCACAAAACATCATCTCTTGTTTATCATCAGTAACAGTCGACCTTGCCCATGGGGAATCTTTCTGTCCATGACACTATAAATGTTTTTTTTTCCGCTTTTCCTGGTCGTATTTGGCATTTTTTGGGATAAATTTTCAGCCTCATTACCCCCTTCATCTACGGTTTTTCGTTTTGAAACTGACAAAGTTCCTATGGTGGCCGTACTAAAATGTTTAGAAATACTTTGTGCATGGTTTCAAGCTCAAATTAACAGCTGTCCGACAAGACAGGTCAATATCGATCATTACATCATACACCCAAGTACCATTAATTGAAAATCTCGGCATAAGCAATGTAAAATACCCCCTGTACTGAGAAATTGATATTGAAAGTACGTGAATTGCGATCAATACATGATACCGGTCCACCCAGAGTTAGTTGTTCTATTTTTAAAACATGTACAAAATCGGTTCAAATTCTTGGAATCCCGGATGACGTACGTAATTGAATCTGATTGGCTAAGATAGAATAGTGATGAGGGGATTTTCCACTTACTATTTCGGAAATGCCAAGAATTGTTTGTTACTAGTCCGTCGGGCATATTCGGTTACAAGTTTTAATTGCCCGAAGTGTAAAAGTCTAGTCCCGGGCGTCGGGCTAGTGGATTTTTTAACCCCTGTGATTTATTGTTCAGTTTTATAAGAGCTGACTGTTTCAGATCAAAATTGGATTACTAGTGGTTTCTTGATGGACAATAATAAATAACACAAACTTTATACTAGATACCCTAAGGATCATTCAGCCCAAGTTTGGTTTGAGTTTGGTGCAGTGGTTTCAGAGGAGAAGATCTTTGAAAAAGTTTAAACCAGACGACTGATGCAAAGGGATGGCAGACACCTTTTAGACAGGGCTTCCAAAATGTATGTATTGTCCGGACTTGTCCGATAAATTGTGTTTCTGACTTGTTGTGACGAGCCTGAAATGGACATATAAAGTGGGCTTGCCATTTTAACATAATTCAGAAAAAAAAAAAAGTTTATGCGATCTTTTTGACCTAACCTTTTGTTTTAAACAACCACACATTTCCAGTCATAAGAGTGACATGATGAATAATTACTATCAAAACAAACCCTACTTTAATACCCTCTTATTACAATCATGGTTAATTTGTTGTTGGACAGCTGAAATTTACCTGTTCAGGCGACAGGTAAACTATTTTGTACCAGACATTGATTGGTCTATCTAAAGTTCATTTTCCTAAATTTCTGCGGTTTGCTTCTAATTAATTGAGTCAAAAAGATTTGGATTATCAGAAATACGTATACAAATATGATTTCATGAAAAATTTAAAAAGCTGTAAGAAAGGTTTTACTTAAAAAAAATTGTCAGAACCACATTGTTTGAACTAGTACATGTGTGTGCAAGTGCGAGATTTAATTATGCATCTGAACTCTTTATAAATGCTAAAACTAACAGATATTTTTATCTAACATTCATTCGAGTATTTTCTTGAAGAAAAAACGTGGAAAGAGCTACTTAAACTCAATTGTGCTTTGTAAATGACATGGATTTTACGCATCCTTCTCTGGTCCGTGTTTTACCATTGTCATGCCAACATCCGGTATTAGGAAAATGTGCTTTTTATAAACAAAAGTAAAGTTTTTGACAGCGTAATTTTGCACAAATAGAGAGTCTAAGGCAGATATTAGTACGCTAATGTTGCACACTCGGAATGATGCACTGTCAATTTAACAGTTTACCTCAGTACATCAAATCTATATCAAAAGTAGTTTATAATATTATATTATATTAGTGTCAATCATCGTTAATATGATGCCCAACTGATTACCACGTTTGCCTTTTGTCTCCAGGGATTAAAATCATGATCAGACAAAAAATGTCTGGCTGGCTCAAATTTTTTTTTTTAGCCCTGTTTTTACATGTTTTAGGGCAGGTGAGCTAAATAGTCACAATATCAAACTTACCTCATATGATTTTAAGTTGGATGTTGAATGAAAGTTGCTACAATTGGGTGACATTTTATAATAAAGAATTATTTAAATCATCATTCAGGTATTAATTATAACCGTTCTAGTATTAGATAATAAAAAAAAAACCTGAAAGTCACACTTTATGAAGATTTAAGTAAAATCTGCAACATAGGAAAATATGGCTAAAATAATGGTATAAAGTTTATTCTATCCTAAGGTGAATTTTCAGCTGTGACGTCAATTAAACAAAGATATTTTTTCTTGATTTGTCACTGCACTATCAACTCCATTGAGGCAAGCTTTAATCTATTTAGTAAGACACTTACTTTCTTTATAGGTTTAACCACATCTTGTTTGTTTTCGTTTCCAGGTTGTCTCCTGCCTACTCCTAAATTAATCCTTGCTCCATGTTTAGCCCGTCCTGAAACTGTTTTTGTCACACCCAATTTTTCTCTGCCTTGTACAATTTGTGTAGAAACAACTGGTGGTGGAGGTATTCTATAGATAGGAAGATGGGCTTTTTGTATTTCTGCTACCACTACATCATCAGTAATCTCCCTCTGTTAAAGAAAGATCATAAATTAAAGAAATTAACAAGCAGTAAGTAAAGGCTAATTTCCTCTCCAGTTTTATTCAACTTGAGGCAGCACTTCATTCTGATATACCATTATAAAAAAGAGAGGATATTGTGTATTAATTCATTACTCAAAACCCCTACACTCACACTAAAATTTTATTTTTCAAAAGAACACACTTTTATTGCTGTCCTTCATCTCAAAATTATTTTGCCATTTAACTGAGCAAAAGCTCACACCTCACTGTAAGTCCAAGTCAGCTCTAGATTTTCATTACACTAAATCTGTGCATTGAAGAAAATACCTGAAGTGATACATATCAACAATATAAGACAAAGAAATCTAACCAGCATGTTTGTTAAATAAGCTGGCAAACTCAACACAAAATACAATAACAATATCAACATTTAGACAACCTGGGGGGCACATAAAAAATTCATTATTTTATTTGGGGTACTATTTTTGATGATCATTTTTGTTGTTAACAGAATCTCTCTAATATCATTGTGTTTTTAAAAAAAATTGCTAAAAATGTAACAAGAGTGCACGCGCTGAAATGTCTCGCCTGCTTTACTTATGATTGAATTTATGTTGAAAGTCTGTAATACGAAGCTTTTACCACAAATATCACATAATCTTAACAATATCAATGATCCATGTAAATGAGGTTTAGGACAGATGAACCAAGCCAGACAGACATGGACATCAAACAATTATTCCATTCACCGAATTCAATTTTCCTATTGCTTATAAGCGGGGGACAAAAACAAAACATTGTCCAATGATCCCTGAAAATGAGGTCAAGGTCAGATGAAATCTGACAATCAGAAAGGTCCACCTTACAATCATTCCATACACCAAATATAGAGCCCTATTGCTTATAGTATCTGAGAAATAGACAAAACCACAAAACCTAAATATTTTCCACTGAACCATGAAAATGAGGTCAAGGTCAAATGAAACCTGCCAATTTGGACATGTACACCTTACAATCATTCTGTACACCAAATATAGTAGACCTATTGCTTATAGTATCTGAGATATGGACTTGACCACATCAACTTAACCTTGATCACTGATCCCTGAAATGAGGTTGAGGTCAGGTGAACCCTATCTGAGTATTTTACAGGACAAAAACACTTCTTTTTTTTTCAAGCAGTCACTGAACCATGAAATGAGGTCAAGGACAATGGACATATTTATGTAATATCCAAAGGTCCGAAATATCATGAACCTGAATCCATCAATTGGAAACACAACTTCAAAATACTGATGGATTCAGTTGAGGACTATGCCAGGCAATGGGTTAAACGCGAGAAAGAAGACATAGATACTCTTTCTGAATTGATTAAGGCTGTGAGGTCGTTGATACAAATCAGAATTAAAAAACTGAATGGGTCTATGTATATCCATGCTACATCAATCTTTAAAGACTCAAATGTTGCAAAACACCTGTCCTACCTCCATGACAAATATGTTGTTGTCCCTGCAGATGAAGCCTCAAACAACATCGTTTTTGTGTGTAAAGCACATTACATTAACTGCTTGAATTGGGTATTGACAATTCACTTGGAAACTCAACTTATACCCCCCAGGACACTTACCAAGGAGGAAATCCTGGATAATCATAGGTCTGTCCTATGTTCCTTTGGAATTTCAATAAAATATGAAGAACTGGATCTTCCATCACTGTATTGGATACCTAAACTACACAAGTGTCTTTACAAACAATGTTATATTGCTGGGTCTTCCAAGTGCTCCACGAAACCGCTTTCTAAATTATTCACATCAATTTTATTAGCAATTAAAGCCAGGCTTTAAAGTTATTGTGAAACTGCTTATTCTAGAGGTGGCGGGAATCAGATGTGGATACTAAAAAATTTCAAAGCTCTTTTAGAGTACATATAATCTAAGACTATTTCATCTTGCAACAGTATTAAAACATTTGACTTTTCTATACTTTACAAAAGTATTCCCCATTCCAAACTAAAAGACAAATTGAGTTGGTCCTGCTTTGTTTCATAAAAAATAAATGGGGAATGTGTCCATGAGACACAGATGATGCCCCCGCTTGCATATAATATTATAAAGGGACATAACTCAAGTAAGGTAAAAGTGACGCTATCCAAATTCAAACTTGATCTGAGTTTTGTGGTAAAAAGCACTGTGTATAAGTTTCATAACATTTGGTTATGGCAAACTTTAGTTAGAGAACGGAAACGAAAAATTCAGCAAATTTTTCCATTTGTAAAGGGGCATAACTAGAAGTGTAAAAGTGATGCCACCCAAATTCAAATTTGATCTGTGTTTTGTGGTAATAAGGTACATGGCAAAACAATCTCCATGGAAATGAGATGTCCCAATGCTAATACAACTGCATACCAAATACCATAGACTTATCATAAGTCGTTCCCTTTCAACAAACCTAAACACAAACATTGACTTGTAAACTATTTAAAACTTGCATATCATTAACTTAACATTAGCGGTTCATCTTAAACTGATCTAATCACAAACTAATATATGTAAACTAAGCAAAAGTTTCAAAGTCAATAGACCATGACTGAGGGGGCGGGACCAAATATTCTCCATGGAAATGAGATGTGCTAATGCTTATACAACTGCACACCAATTATCATTGACCTACCACTAACGGTTCCCCTTAAACTGACCTAATCACAATAATAAAATTGAGAATGGAAATGGGGAATATGTCAAAGAGACAACAACCCGACCAAAGAGCAGACAACAGCCGAAGGCCACCAATGGGTCTTCAATGCAGCGAGAAAATCCCACACCCGGAGGTGGTCCACAGCTGGCCCCTAAATAAAATTGTGTACTAGTTCAGTGAAAATGGACGTCACACTAAACTCCAACAAGAGTGCACACGCTGAAATGTCTCGCCTTCTTTACTAATCATTGATATTATGTTGATAGTCCTAAATATAAAGCTTTATTACAACTGTCACATAAACTTAACATTAACCAAGTAAACTAAACATTGACCAATGAACCATGAAAATGAGGTCAAGGTCAGATGAACCATGCTGGGCAGGCATGTACAGCTAACAATTCTTCCATACAACAAATATGGTTGACCTATTGCTTATAGTTTAAGAAAAACAGTCCAAAACACAAAAACTTAACACTGAGCAATGAACCTTGAAAATGAGGTCAAGGTCAAATAAAACCTGTGTGACTGACATATAGATCATAAAATATTTCCATACACCAAATGTAGTTGAACTATTGCATATAGTATTAGAAAAAAAGATCAAATCTCAAAAACTTAACTTTGACCACTGAACCATGAAAATGAGGTCAAGGTCAGATGACACCTGCCAGCTAGACATGTACACCTTACAATCATTCCATACACCAAATATAGTAGACCTATTGCATGCAGTATTAGAAAAAAAGACCAAAACTCAAAAACTTAACTTTGACCACTGAACCATGAAAATGAGGTCAATGTCAGATGACACCTGCCAGCTAGACATGTACACCTTACAATCATTCCATACACCAAATATTGTTGACCTATTGCATACAGTATAAGAAAAACAGACCAAAACACAAAAACTCAACTATAACCACTGAACCATGAAAATGAAGTCAAGGTCAGATGACACCTGCCAGCTAGACATGTACACTTTACAATCCTTCCATACACCAAATATTGTAGACCTATTGCATACAGTATAAGAAAAACAGACCAAAACACAAAAACTCAACTATAACCACTGAACCATGAAAATGAGGTCAAGGTCAGATGACACCTGACAGCTAGACATGTACACCTTACAATCCTTCCATACACCAAATATAGTAGACCTATTGCATACAGTATAAGAAAAACAGACCAAAACACAAAAACTCAACTATAACCACTGAACCATGAAAATGAGGTCAAGGTCAGATGACACCTGCCAGCTAGACATGTACACCTTACAATCCTTCCATACAACAAATATAGTAGACCTATTGCATACAGTATAAGAAAAACAGACCAAAACACAAAAACTCCACTATAACCACTGAACCATGAAAATGAGGTCAAGGTCAGATGACACCTGCCAGCTAGACATGTACACCTTACAATCCTTCCATACACCAAATATAGTAGACCTATTGCATACAGTATAAGAAAAACAGACCAAAACACAAAAACTCAACTATAACCACTGAACCATGAAAATGAGGTCAAGATCAGATGACACCTGCCAGTTGGACATGTACACCTTACAGTCCTTCCATACACCAAATATACTAGACCTATTGCTTATAGTATCTGAGATATGGACTTGACCACGAAAACTTAACCTTGTTCACTGATCCATGAAATGAGGTCGAGGTCAAGTGAAAACTGTCTGACGGGCATGAGGACCTTGCAAGGTACGCACATACCAAATATAGTTATCCTATTACTTATAATAAGAGAGAATTTAACATTACAAAAAATCTTCACTTTTTTTTCAAGTAGTCACTGAACCATGAAAATGAGGTCAAGGACATTGGACATGTGACTGACGGAAACTTCGTAACATGAGGCATCCATATACAAAGTATGAAGCATCCAGGTCTTCCACCCTCTAAAATATAAAGCTTTTAAGAAGTTAGCTAACGCCGCCGCCGCCGCCGGATCACTATCCCTATGTCGAGCTTTCTGCGACAAAAGTCGCAGGCTCGACAAAAATTATAAATGAACTAAAATTAAAATAAAATGCTCCGCTGGGTGCAGCTTGATACGACCTCAGAGGTCGATCCCTGAACAGTTGGGGCAAGTATGGACACAACATTCAAGCTTGATACAGCTCTGAATTTGTATTGTGATTAAATATTTGACACAGCATAGGTTTCTGACACAGAATGAATGTGGTTTAAGAACTAAAAAAAATTTAATTTACCTTTTCAAACCATATCCTTACTATTTGCTTTTATATATAAATCAAAAATAACCAACTTAAAATGGAAAATTTTAAAGAAAAAAAAAAGGAAAAAAAAATCCCCCCCCCCAATTTTTTGAACCCCCTAATGATTCATCACCCCCAAACTGAATCCCAGCCTTCCCTTTGTGGTATGGTACCTTGCAGTACAATTTCAGAGAGATCCATACACTTGAACACAAGTTATTGTCTGGAAACTGTAAAAATGCTTGTTTTTTGGCCCCTTTTTGGCCCCAAATTCCTAAACGTTTAGGGCAATTACCCCCAAACTCAAACCCAGCTTTCCCTTTGTGATATGGAACCTTGTAGTACAATTTCATAAAGATCCATACACTTACACACAAGTTATTGTCCTGAAACTAGAAAAATTGTTTTTTTTCCCCTTTTTGGCCACTAATTCCTAAAATTTTGAGGCAATTACCCCCAAAATCAATCCCAGCCTTCCCTTTGTGGTATGGTACCTCGCAGTACAATTTCTGAGAGATCCATACACTTGAACACAAGTTATTGTCTGGAAACTAGAAAAATGCTTATTTTTGGCCCCTTATTCCTAAACGTTTTGGGCAATTACCCCCAAACTCAAACCCAGCTTTCCCTTTGTGATATGGAACCTTGTAGTACAATTTAAGAAAGATCCATACACTTACACACAAGTTATTGTCATGAAACTAGAAAAATGCTTGTTTTTTGCCCCTTTTTTGGCCCCTTATTCCTAAAATTTTGAGGCAATTACCCCCAAAATCAATCCAAGCATTCCCTTTGTGATATGGAACCTTGTGGTACAATGTCAGAGAAATCCATACACTAACACACAAGTTATTGTCTGGAAGTTACAAAAATGCTTATTTTTTGCCCCTTTTTGGCCCCTAATTCCTTAACTGTTGGTAACGTAACCCCCAAAATCAATCCCAACCTTTCTTTTGTGGTATTGAACCTTATGGTAAAATTTTACAGAGATCCATTCACTTAAACTAAAGTTATTGTGCGAAAACCAATGTGTCTAGGACGACGACGACGACGCCAACGTCATACCAATATACGATTGCAAAAATTTTTTGCGGTCGTATAAAAACATACAAGACTAACAAAGGCCAGAGGCTCCTGACTTGGGACAGGCGCAAAAATGCGGCGGGGGTTAAAAATGTTTTGTGAGATCTCAACCCTCCCCCTATACCTCTAGCCAATGTAGAATAAAGAAACACATAGCAATACACACAGTAAAACTCAGTTCAAAAGAAGATAAATTAACACATGAAAACGAAGCAAAAGTTTCAAATTCAATAGACCATGAATGAGGGGGCGGGGCCAAATAATCTCCATGGAAATGAGATGTGCCAATGCTTATACAACTGCATACCAAATATCATTGACCTACCACTAGTGGTTCCCCATAAACTGACCTAACCACAAACTAATACATGTAAACGAAGCAAAGTTTCAAAGTCAATAGACCTTGACTGAGGAGGCGGGGCCAAATAATCTCTATGGTAATGAGATGTGCAAATGCCAATTCAACTGCATACCAAATATCATTGACCTACTACTAGTGGTTCACCATGAACTAGACCTAATCACAAACTAATACATTATTGACGCCGCCACCGGAAACAGCATACCTATGTCTCGCTTTTTGACTCCGTCAAGGCAAGACAAAAACGGATGATGTCCCCACTTGCATATAACGTTATTAAAGGACTCAAGAACGGTAAAAATGACGCTACCAAAATTCAAACTTGATCTGTGTTTTGTTGTAAAAAGCATTGTGTATAAGTTTCATAACATTTGGTTGAGGCAAACTAAAGTTAGAGAACGGAAACCAATTTTGGGACGTACAGACGGACGTACAGATGGACATGGGTAAAACTTAATGCCCCCTCCGCTACAGCGGGGGCATAAAAATGGCAAACTTAGATACAAGTATCTTGTCTTAGGGAGGGATAAATTGTACTTTGTAAAGAATCACTCTGATTCAAACAAAAAATTCTCTGAAACTGACATTATCAAGATTCTTGATTGACAATATATTTGTTACATTTGGAGGACGTGTTTTTCAACAAAAAATTGGTATTCCAATTGGAACCAACTGTGCTCCTCTTCTTGTCGACTTGTTCCTTTATTCATATGAGGCTGATTTCATACAGGAACTTCTTAGGAAGAAAGAAAAGAAGTTAGCAGTATCCTTTAACTTTACTTTCCGCTATATAGATGATGCTCTCTCACTAAATACTGTAAATTCAGAAATTATTGCGATGTTTTTATTATTGCAAAAATTGCGACAAGTTTATAATCGCAATAATTTAAACTCGCATTTTGAAATTTTTTATATGAATTAAACAGGATTTTTCTCAATATCACTAAAAAATAAAATCGCATTTTAGTCTAAAATGACAAAATCGCAATAATAAATGCACGCAATAATTTCAGAATTTACAGTAATTCAAAATTTGGTGACTATGTTGAACGCATCTATCCAATCGAACTTGAGATAATGGATACAACAGATACAGTTAAGTCTGCCTCATATCTTGACTTACATCTAGAAATTGACAATGAGGGTCGTTTGAAAACAAAAGTTTATGACTCAAGAGCTTCCCAATTGTGAACTTTCCATATTTATGTAGCAACATTCCAGCAGCGCCTGCATATGGAGTATATATCTCCCAGTTGATACGATATTCCAGGGCTTGTATTTCCTATAATGATTTCCTTGATAGAGGGTTGCTGCTGACAAGGAAGATATTAAACCAAAAGTTCCAAGTGGTGAAGTGGAAATCATCACTTCGTCAATTTTATGGACGCCATCACGAGTTGGTTGACCATTATGGAATATCCGTTTCACAGATGAAAGCGGATATGTTCCAATTGCCGTATCTACAATCCTGTCCCATTTTCCCAGAATGTGACCTACCAAATTAGACTTATTACCGGGTTTGTACTAACATGAGCAACCCGACATTTGCCACATGTGGAGCAGGATCTGCTTACCCTTCTGGAGCACCTGACATCACCCCCAGTTTTTGGTGGGATTCGTGTTGCTTAGTCTTTATTTTTCTTTGTTGTGTTTTGTGTACTGTTGTTTGTCTGTTGGTCTTTATTTTAGCCATGGCAATGTCAGTTTTATTTTCTACTTTGAGTTTGAATGTCCTTTGGTATCTTTCGCCTCTCTTTTACACAAATTAGGTACCCACTTTTTCTTGCAGCCCATCCGCCAGCTGATATCACCATACTATAAGCTGGTTTTGGAATTTGTCCAATCAGACCAAAAAAAGAGCCAAATGCTTTTATGTCTTCAGTGCTTTGGGTTGACACACGCTAGAGTGTCTCGCCTCCTTTACTCAATTTCAAGGTTTTTTTTACAAGTATCACATAAATTATTCATGGAAATGAGGTCAAGGTAAGGACCAGTCAGCCATGTACACCTTACAATCATGCCATAGACCCAATATATTGAGCCTATTGTTTATATCATCTGAGAAACAGACCTAATTACAAAAACTTAACACTGACCAATGCACCAAAAAAATGAGGTCAAGGTTAGATGAGCCCTACAAGACAACATGTTTACCAAGCAATCATTCTACATGCCAAATATAGTTGACTTATTGCTTAAAGTATTGGAGAAATAGACATAACCATGAAAAACTGACACTGACCAATCAACCATGAATAAAGGTCAAGGTCAGAAAAAACTGGCAAGACAGACATGTACACCTTACAATTATTCCATACACCAAATATAGTGGCTCTTTTGCATATAGAATCTCAGAAATAGACCAAACCACAAAAACTTAATGTTGATCAATGAACCATGAGATCAAGGTCAGATGAAACCTGCCAGTCGGACATGTACACCTTACACCAAATAAAGCTGACCTATTGCTCATGTAATCTGAGATAAGGAGTTGACCACGAAAACTTAACCTTGATCAATGATCCAGACATGTAGACCTTGCAAGAATTCCACATACCAAATATAGTTATCCTATTACTCATAATAAGTGAGATTTTCACTCATCAACTCACAAACTGAATTAATGTCGGATAGACTTTTATGTAAAGTTTGTGAGTCTGTGTCCCAGTTAACGCCTCAATAACAGCTGGAAAGTATGATTGATTTGATTTGATTTTTGGTGTTTTAACGCCACTTTTAAGCACCGCTTTTGGGCTATTTCGTGGCGGCCAGTTTTTATTGGTGGAGGAAGCCGGAGTGCCCGGAGAAAACCACCGACCTTCGATAGGAAAACTGACAATCCTAGTCAATTAAGACTGGAGTCGAGTGCACCCCCACGAGCGGGGTCCGAACTCACAACCTCAGTGTTGACTGGCTAGTGATTACAGTAGTAACTACTTAGACCACTCGGCCACCGAGGCCCCCTGGAAAATATGTGTTTAATCCTTATAATTCTCAATCCAAAAAATTGTTTTTTTTTTAATTTCAACTTTCTTTGAACCACAGGATACATTACAGTGACATCGATATCTACATAGTGTTCATGAAGGTTAAGAAAGTAGTTTCCACAACATGGACTACAGAATTGTAAACTAAGGGAAAAAAATCTAGCAGAATAATCACATTGAACTATTTGTGGATAAGAAACTCATACAAGAATAAAAGAAGAATGTGTCTGAGGACACATATACCCCTGCTCAAGCTTTGCAACTTTCCAAGTTTAAAAGGAGCACAACTCTAGAACAGTAAGTGACATACTGCCCAAATTCGAACTCTTTCTTCAAGTTTTGGTTCTTAGCATTGTGTATGAGTTTCATAAAATTTGGATGAGGAAAACTTAAGTAAGAGTGCAGAAACGAAAAAATTTGCAACTTTCCAAGTTATAATGAGGCATAACTCTAGAACAGTAATTGACTCACTGCCCAAATTCGAACTCTGTCTTAGCATTGTGTATGAGTTTTATAAAATTAGGATGAGAAAAACTTAAGTGAGAGTGCGGAAACGAACATGGGGGGGACGACGAGAAAGAGGGATGGAAGGACAGAAAATCAAGGGTAACACTAAATGCCCTCATTGCATACGGTGTGGGCATAATTATAATAAAATGCTCCGCTGGGCGCAGCTTGATACGACCGCAGAGGTCGAACCCTGAACAGTTGGGGCAAGTATGGACACAACATTCAAGCTTGATACAGCACTGAATTTGGATTGTGATTAAATATTTGACACAGCATAGGTTTCTGACACAGAATGAATGTGGTCTTAAGAACTTTTTAATTTACCTATTCAAACCATATCATTATTATTTGCTTTTATATATAAATCAGAAATAACCAATTTAAAATGGAAAATTTTAAAGAAAAAAAAAAAGAAAAAAAACTTCCCTCCCCCAAATTTTTTGAACCCCCTTATGATTCATCACCCCCAAACGCAATCCCAGCCTTCCCTTTGTGGTATGGTACCTTGCAGTACAATTTCAGAGAGATCCATACACTTGAACACAAGTTATTGTCTGGCAACTAGAAAAATGCTTGTTTTTAGGCCCCTTTTTGGCCCCAAATTCCTAAACGTTTAGGGCAATTACCCCCAAACTCAAACCCAGCTTTCCCTTTGTGATAAGGAACCTTGTAGTACAATTTCATAAAGATCCATACACTTACACACAAGTTATTGTCCTGAAACTAGAACAAGAGTGCACATGCTGAAATGTCTCGCCTTCTTTACTAACCATTGATATTATGTTGATAGTCCTAAAAAAGCTTTACTACAACTATAACATAAACTTAACATGATCCAAGAAAATGAAGTCAAGGTCATATAAACCAAACGAGAAATACATGTACACCTTACAATCATTCAATACACTAAATATAGTTGACCTATTGCTTATAGTTTCTAAGAAACAGACTTAACCAAGAAAACTAAACATTGACCAATGAATCGTGAAAATGAGGTCAAGGTCAGAAGAACCATACCAGGCAGACATGAACAGCTTACAATCCTTCCATACAACAAATATAGTTGACCTATTGCTTATAGTTTAAGAAAAACAGACTGAAACACATAAACTTAACACTGAGCAATGAACCGTGAAAATGAGGTCAAAGTCAAATAAACCTGCGAGACTGACATGTACATCATAGAATATTTCCATACACCAAATATAGTTGACTTATTGCATAAAGTATGAGAAAAACGGACCAGAACACAAAAACTTAACTATAACCACTGAACCATGAAAATGAGGTCAAGGTCAGATGACACCTGCCAGTTGGACATGTACACCTTACAATCTTTCCATACACCAAATATACTAGACCTATTGCTTATAGTATCTGAGATATGGACTTGACCACCAAAACTTAACCTTGTTCACTGATCCATGAAATGAGGTCGAGGTCAAGTAAAAACTGTCTGAAGGGCATGAGGACCTTGATAGGTACGCACATACCAAATATAGTTATCCTATTACTCATAATAAGAGAGAAATTAACATTACAAAAAATCAAAACTTTTTTTTCAAGTAGTCACTGAACCATGAAAATGAGGTCAAGGACAATGGACATGTGACAGACGGAAACTTCGTAACATAAGGCATCTATAAACAAAGTATGAAGCATCAAGGTCTTCCACCTTCTAAAATATGTTGGCCCATAATTCCTAAAATTTTGAGGCAATTACCCCCAAACTCAATCCAAGCCTTCCCTGTGTGGTATGGTACCTTGCAGTACAATTTCAGAATGATCCATACACTTGAACACAAGTTATTGTCTGGAAACTAGAAAAATGCATATTTTTTGCCCCATTTTGGCCCCTTATTCCTAAACATTTTAGGCAATTACCCCCAAACTCAATTCCAGCTTTCCCTTTGTGATATTGAACCTTGTAGTACAATTTTAGAAAGATCCATACACTTACACACAAGTTATTGTCATGAAACTAGAAAAATGCTTACTTTTTGCCCCTTTTTTGGCCCCTAATTCCTAAAATTTTGAGGCAATTACCCCCAAAATCAATCCCAGCCTTCCCTTTGTGATATGGAACCTTGTGGTACAATGTCAGAGAGATCCATACACTAACACACAAGTTATGTCTGGAAGTTACAAAAATGCTTATTTTTGGCCCCTTTTTGGCCCCATATTCCTTAACTGTTGGTACCATAACCCCCAAAATCAATCCCAACCTTCCTTTTGTGGTATTGAACCTTATGGTTAAATTTCATAGAGATCCAATCACTTAAACTAAAGTTAGAGTGCGAAAACCAATGCGTCTTCGAACACCGACGACGCCGGACAACGACGACGCCAACGTCATACCAATATACGACCGCAAAATTTTTTGGCGGTCGTATAATAAAAATAATGTATTTGTGGTAAAGCTAAGTTTGCAACTCTTTATGTCAAAGTTGACCTTAGACATTTTGGGCAGTTCTATTTATAACCTTTTGTGTTTTTTGCTAGCAAACTTATAGTCACTAGCATACTTCATGAAGGTTATTTCAGTAACAAATGTTGTGTGAACAGAAATAATATAATTTGATTTTACTATCACTGCATAATTGCTATTGGACTATCTCAGTCATTTAGGATAGCATTCACAAGTATCTAATGTTTAGGTATTGTTACGATTTAAATGACACATTTTGTTTGTAAAGTTCAAGATCACAAAACTGTGTAATTGTGCTAAAATTAAGGTTGCAATGGTGACCTTAGATGGTTTTGGCTGTTCTATTTATACCCTTTTGATTTTTAAGCTTTCAAATATAATGCAGTTCTGGCTTTCCAAACTTTTGGTTATAAGCAAACCTAATGAAAATAATTCCAGAACATGTGTTCTGCACACTAATTCATATCATTATGTTCTTTTCTTTTTCATTTTTTTCTGATAAGCATACCTCAACTTGCTGTCTTAGTTTTGTAACCAATTTATCAATTTTTTGTTTCAAATGTGCTCTTTCTGGATCTGATCTGAAAAATAAAGCTTTAAAATGACACAGCTACAGGTCTTTTTTGTCTTTTTTTCATCTTTTTCTGTTCAATGCAGAGCCCAGAACTTTTGTCCTTATATTCCAGTATGGATTAACATCAATTGGTCATCAGACAAAAATATGCTATTTAATATAAATTTCAACCCTTCTCTTAATCCCAAATTCTTTTTCTGAAAACAAATTAATTTATTTCAAATAAAGCCTTTTCAGATTATTTAAATAAAGTGAAATCCAATATTTTTTCTTGAGTGCCAGGACCACATTATTTATTTGGTGGGGTTTGTGATGCTCTATCTTTAGTTGTCTGTGTAGTGTTTTGCTGTTTGTCTTTTCCTCAATTTTTCTTGTTGGCTGCTTTTTTTTACTTATGGTTTACAATTGCTTTCTTGGTATATTCTCCTTATTTTTATTGATGAAAATAATTACGATGAACTAGAACTGTCCCCTTAGCTGGACAAAAAACCCTGAGGCCTGGTTTAACTTTTAAACATGCTTTGTAACTTAATTACAGGGAATTTTTTCTAGTGTTTTATTTTTGTTTCAGATGCATTTACATCCCACATACATGCATATTTGTATATCAGGTTCTAACAATATTGTAATTTTCTTAAAAGATATAATGAATCATAACATAATCAGTTGCAATGACAAAGTAGGAGCTGGACAGTACCAAAAGCTTCAAGTTCCAGGGGCATTACTCTAGAAAAGCTCAATGGACTATTACTGGAATATCATTCCCACATGCACATCTGCATATTAGGGTCTTTTGATGTACCAAATTACATGAAGATATGATAAGCCATGAAGGTTCAGATGACAAGGTAGTTGCAGGACGGGGCCAAAAATTTTTGAGGCATGTCTCTGGAAAATCTCAATGGACATGAGCATCCTACATGCACATCTGTATATTAGGATACCAACATTTTTCTAGATACAATAAAACATGTAGGAGGAGTTCAGATGACAAGGTTGTTGCTGGACAGGGTCAAAATTTCTCAGATGAATGGAGCATAACTCTAATATCATTGCAGTTGTAGTCATATCAGTGGTTAGTATCAATTTCAATGGCAGATGAAGAAAAATTCACGAAAATAGACTATCTTTGAGGAGTGAGTTAGCAAGGAATATGACGTTTATATTCAAATAAATGGATTAAAAATTAACTTAAGGCAATTATAATCATGTTTTAATGAAGTGAAACATTATTTTGCTGGAAATCAGAATCTTTTGAAGTACACTTAAATTACAAAGACTGGAAGTGAACAAAAATATTCTTTGGCATAAAAAATTGTTCTTTTCAAATATCATATTACAGTGGCATTTCGTTGTGTCGAAAACTTGGATGAGTTGAAGTAATTTCTTGGTCCCAGTGAAATTCCCGTTTGATCAATGCATAATTACCTCTGATGAGTCGAACTCTGTTGATTCGAATATTCCGTTAAGTCGAGTAAATTTTATAGTCCCGTCGATGTAAAATTAATGTCAATTGACCTTGATGTCTCGAAGTTCGAAAGTAAGAATTTTCGAAAAAGATGCAGACCTAATGATAAAAATTCATTTGGATGTATTTCTTATGTAACCTAATCATTTTCAAAAGAGATTAAAGCTGAGTAAACATACTTGTTTGTATAACAGTTAAAATGACATGTTTATGGTGACCGGTAATTAACACCTTTGTTGATCATTCAAGCGCAATGTTAGTGTGCTGAACATATTTCACCTGCCATAAAAATGATACGAATTTAAATGAATCGTTAGAATTAAAATTCATTAATTACAATAAATAAAAGGATTAAGACAATTGTGATAAATTTATAACAATTTAATGTAAAGCAGACGACCTCATCAGTGACCTTTCAGAACTTGTTTCGTTCCGCGAGTGATTTCATAATTCATAGTGACCGACCTTTGTAAATATTTGTGTATACTATTGATTTTATTTGTGCATGATTTGTAACTGTACTTGTGTGTTAAATTCTTATGAAAGACTTAAAAATATGGAGATTGAATACACTATCATTGTGTCATAGCGAAAATAGGCACACTGTTCAAAGTATCTAGATTACACAAATCTCATACCATATTTCATGCATTCCAAATTTATAACGACACACTCGACCTTGGATGAGTCAAACCTCGGATAAGTCTAATACTTTGGTCCAGTCCCTTCGACTTCGACATAACAAGGTTCGACTGTACCAGTCTACAAATTCAATGGGCTTGGTTCTCAATTTTATTTAACAAGTAGTGTACTCGTAACGCAGTTATGTAATTATTTCACAGCAAAACGTGTGAAGGTCACGATCCAGAATTATCATATTTGTTTACCAAATGTTGTGGAAAAACAGATATGTTTCTCACTAAATAATGATATAGGAGATTGTTCATTGGAATTTTCAATTTTAAATCAACAACAGACATCATTTGATATTATTAAGAAAAATCTATCTAAATGACACTGATAAAAAAGCACGTTTTCACCTTCTACTTAATTCACCCAAGTCAATCGGAAAACATGAAAAAATGCAAAATACATCTATAAATTAATGTTTTGAAACTTCACCAGTCCACTATTGTCTTTTTAACTGGTCTTACTCTAAATAGTTTAATCATAAAAATGTAGGAAATTTATCATAGCTGAAAAGGAATCTCCTTCAACCACTTTGACATGAGTCCACATACATACATCACAAATATGGCAGTCTCACCATAGCATAAAGGCAAAAAAGCAATTGCCTTAAAAAAAATATTAAAATCTTTATTTCTTATGAGGCAAGAATCTTGCAATCTGATTGGTTAATTACCCTGATGTAAATAACATCCCATCCCAGCTAAATTATGAACACCTGGGTATAAATTATTGCTAAAATTCCAAAAAAATAAAAATTTGCCAAATTACAATAAAATGCTCCGCTGCGCGCAGCTTGATACGACCGCAGAGGTCGAACCCTGAACAGTTGGGGCAAGTATGGACACAACATTCAAGCTTGATACAGCACTGAATTTGGATTGTGATTAAATATTTGACACAGCATAGGTTTCTGACACACAATGAAAGTGGTCCAAGAACTTAAAAATTTTTAATTTACCTATTCAAACCATATCATTATTATTTGCTTTTATATATAAATCAGAAATAACCAATTTAAAATGGAAAATTTTAAAGAAAAAAAAAGGAAAAAAATGAAAAAAAAATCTCTCCCCCAAATTTTTTGAACCCCCTTATGATTCATCACCCCCAAACTCAATCCCAGCCTTCCCTTTGTGGTATGGTACCTTGCAGTACAATTTCAGAGAGATCCATACACTTGAACACAAGTTATTGTCTGGAAACTAGAAAAATGCTTGTTTTTAGGCCCCTTTTTGGCCCCAAATTCCTAAACGTTTAGGGCAATTACCCCCAAACTCAAACACAGCTTTCCTGTTGTGATATGGAACCTTGTAGTACAATTTCATAAAGATCTATACACTTACACACAAGTTATTGTCCTGAAACTAGAAAAATGCTTATTTTTGCCCCTTTTTGCCCCCTAATTCCTAAAATTTTGAGGCAATTACCCCCAAAATCAATCCCAGCCTTCCCTTTGTGGTATGGTACCTTGCAGTACAATTTCAGAGAGATCCATACACTTGAACACAAGTTATTGTCTGGAAACTAAAAAAAATGCTTATTTTTGGCCCCTTATTCCTAAACGTTTTGGGCAATTACCCCCAAACTCAATTCCAGCTTTCCCTTTGTGATATGGAACCTTGTAGTACAATTTCAGAAAGATCCATACACTTACACACAAGTTATTGTCATGAAACTAGAAAAATGCTTGTTTTTTGCCCCTTTTTTGGCCCCTAATTCATAACATTTTGAGGCAATTACCCCCAAAATCAATCCCAGCATTCCCTTTGTGATATGGAATCTTGTTGTACAAAGTCAGAGAGATCCATACACTAACACACAAGTTATGTCTGGAAGTTACAAAAATGCTTATTTTTGGCCCCTAATTCCTTAACTGTTGGTACCATAACCACCAAAATCAATCCCAACCTTCCTTTTGTGGTATTGAACCTTATGGTAAAATTTCATAGAGATCCATTTACTTAAACTACAGTTAGAGTGCGAAAACCAATGTGTCTTCGGACGACGACTCCGGACGACGACAGCGACGCCATCGTCATACCAATATACGAACGCAAAAATAAAATTCTGCGCAAAGAGGGCATGATAAGCCCTTATTTGTTCATGTTGAAATTGTTGCAAGAATAAAATGTGATATTTCAAAGGTATTTAATCATTAGTAAATAAAATGGCTCTGTAGAAAAAATGACCCAAGATACTATTTTTTAAATCAAACAGTTTGGTATGTTCACCAATTCCAACAATTAAGCCATGTTAATATAGTTGCACATATAATTGTCTTGCTGATCTTTTCTGCTGTTTACTGTAAGTCTAATATTACTATAGTTTGGCTAAAAATACCTCCTATAAGGAATCTACCTCCTTTAACCTAGGCCACATACATGGGAGAAACATTCGATAGACCAAATAAACCTGACTCAGCATTACATCAACAACTGCTTAATATTCTAGATGATAATAACTTAGAACAAGTAATAAACAAGATAAATGGGGAATGTGTTCATGGGACACAGATGATGCCCCCGCTTGCATAAAACATTATAAAGGGACATAACTCAAGAACAATAAAAGTGACGTTACCCAAATTTGTACTTGATCTGAGTTTTGTAGTAATAAGCATTGTGTATAAGTTTCATAACATTTGGTTGAGGCAAACTAAAGTTAGAGAACGGAAATGAAAAATTCAGCATCTTTTTTCAATTTTGAAGGGGCATAACTCTAGAACAGTTAAAGTGACACCACCAAAATTCAAGCTTGATCTGCGTTTTGTGGTAATAAGCATTGTGTTTAAGTTTCATAACATTTGGTTGAGGCAAACTTAAGTTAGAGAATGGAAACCAAATTTGGGATGTATGGACTGACGGACGTATGGACGTACGTACAGATGGACAAAGGTAAAACTTAATGCCCCATCCGCTACGGCTGGGGCGGGGACATAAAAATGGTAAAAATAGTCCTTTATAGGTAATAACTCCTTTACTCTTTCTATAGCAATTTTCAATATAATAGACAAATTGCATTTTACCCCTATGTTGTAATTTTAGCTATGTTGGCCATGTTGGTTGGCAAACAGGATCATTAGACACATTTTTTTAAACTAAATACCTGAATGATGTTTATGGCCAAGTTTGGTTCAAATTTACCCAGTAATTTCAGGAGAAGATTTTTGTAAAAGTTAACAGATGACAGATACCAAGTGATGAGAATAGCTCAATTTACCCTTTGGGTCAGCTGAGCTAAAAAGTCACCTAAATCTGTTGCTATTCCACTAAATTAGACTGAAAAAAATGGGGAATGTGTCCATGGGACACAGATGATGCCCCCGCTTGCATATCATATAAAGTTATAAAGGGACATAACTGAAGAATGGTAAAAGTTACGCTACCCAAATTTATACTTGAACTGAGTTTTGTGGTAAGTATTGTGTATAAGTTTCATATCATTTGGTTGAGGCAAACTTAAGTTAGAGAACGGAAACGAAAAATTCAGCAATTTTTCCATTTGTAAAGGGGCATAGCTCTAGAACAGTTAAAGTGACGCCACTAAAATTCAAACTTGATCTGTATTTTGTGGTAATAAGCATTGTGTATAAGTTTCATAACATTTTGTTGAGGCTAACTTAAGTTAGAGAACGGAAACGCAAAATTCAGCAATTTTTCCATTCGTAAAGGGGCATAACTCTAGAACATTTAAAGTGACACCACCAAGATTCAAACTTGATCTGTATTTTGTCGTGATAAGCATTGTGTATAAGTTTCATAAAATTTGGTTGAGGCATACTAAAGTTAGAGAACAGAAACGAACAAGAGGCTGTCAGAGTGACAGCAAACCGGATTTTCCTGCAGAGGGTGAACCCTGAACAGTTGAGCAAGTATGGACACTACATTTAAGCTTAAAACAGCTCTGAATTTGGATTGTGATTGAATATTTGACACAGCATAGGTTTGTGACACAAAATGAATGTGGTCAAAGAACTGAAATATTTGAAATTGGACATTCCAAAATCTAAGTACATATTAGAATCAGCATACCAAAGAACCCCAAGAATTCAATTTTTGATGAAATCAGACAAAAGTTTAATTTAGGACCCTTTGGACCTCAATGTGGACCAATTTGATAAAGGAGCCCACAATCCAAAATCTCTCAATACATGGTTATATTCAGTATTTCAAAGAACCCCATAGATTCAATTTTTGTTGAATCAAACAAAGTTTAATTTTGGACCCTGATATTTTGGACCAACTTGAAAACTGGGCCCAAAAATCTAATATTAAAATACAGGTTTAGATTCAGCATTTGAAAGAACCCTATATACATTTAATTTATGTTGAAATGAAACACAGGTTAATTTTATCCATAATATTTTCTGTGCAAAGGGAAATACCTCAAACTGGATAAATAGTTCTCTAAAATAAGATATGATGCAATTTTTCAAATTATAATCAATAATATAATAACAACAACCAGTGATGACTAAGTTCTCTAAAATTAGATATGATTTAACACTCAAACATTGTTAGAATCAGCATATCAAAGAACCAAAGAATTCAATTTTTGATGAAATTAAACAAAAGTTTAATTTAGGACCCTTTGGACCTCAATGTGGTATTATCTTATTAATAATGAAAAGAAATACAGGTTTAGATTAAGCATTTCAAAGAAACCTATATATATTCAATTTATGTTGAAATCAAACACAGTTTAATTATGGACCCCAATTTGGACCAACTTGAAAACTGGGCCCAAAATCAGAAATCTAAATATATGTTTATTAATAGACAATATAAGCTTAGTTTTTAAAGGAGTTCACTTCGTCATAAAAAAAATATATAGCATTCAGAAAATAAGTTTTTACAGAATAACAAACAAACTTGCCACAAAATTCTTCAAACAATTTACCAAAGAAAAGAAGAAAAAAATCAAAAATTTTATTTATCATTAATACAATGTCTTTTCAAAATCTATAAAACTTATCAGTAACAAGAAATAATTGTAACAGGATGCTGTTACAAAGTCTCCCAAACAAAGCTCCAATAATTCGTCATTCCAATGGTCGCCTGACATTGGGCAAAATCCAGTTCAAATTGGTTTGTGATATGCATAAGTGACGCCTATGGATTGACCCTGTATGTCATTCAAATCTTCTTGAAATTAGGAACAGGAATATATGGTTTAGGGGTGGAGATCTCCACTGTTTACAAATTCTCAAAAGGGGGGGGGACCCCAGGGGACTCGCCTTATATTTCATTTGATTTGTTTTATTGTCCCATACAAGAATATATATGGTTTCGGGGTGGGGATCTTGACCGTTTACAAGTTTTCAAAAAGAAGGGGGTGGTGGTGACCCCAGGGGACTCGCCTTTTATTTCATTTGATTAGTTTTATTGTCCCATACAAGAATATATATGGTTTCAGGGTGGGGATCTTGACGGTTTACAAGTTTTCAAAAAGAAGAGAGGTGGGGGTGAACCCAGGGACTCCCCCAATATTTCATTTGATTTGTTATATTGTCCCATACAAGATAAAAGCACATTCTCAAATTGAAGGGGGGTGGGGGTAAGAATATATATGGTTTAGGGAGACTTAATTATCTACAAAATGTCTAATAATGAACAGTAAATTTCAAACTGCATTTATACAGTCCTACTAGTAAATTTCAAGTTTGACCGTCCGCCAACACGACCGCCCGCCGTACATCCCCATTTTAATAACCGATATTTCCTTCGAAAATCCGGTTAAAAATTCAGCAATTTTTCCATTTGTAAAGGGGCATAAATCTAGAAAGGTTAAAGTGACGCCACCAAAATTCAAACTTGATCTGTGCTTTGAGGTAATAAGCATTGTGTATAAGCTTCATAACATGTGGTTGAGGCAAACTAAAGTTGGAGAACAGAAACCAACTTTGGGACATACGGACGGACGGACGTACAGACGGACAAGGGTAAAACTTAATGCCCCCTCCACTACGGCGGGGGCATAAAAATAATTCAACCCCACCACTTGTTTTTGTGACCTGTCCAGGGAATTTCCTAAAAATGAATAAAGAACAGTTGAAGTAACTTCCACAATAATAATAATAAATTACCTATTTTGATGCAAATTCTCTAAAATGGTATAAACCTCATACTCCTGTTGGGACCTTAATACACTTTGCAGGTTAGCCTCTAGGCAATTTCTTGCCTTAGAGACATCTTGTAACACCTGTTCTGCTTCATTGAATCCAGGTAGAAGAGGAGCATTAAAATGATGAAATGACAGCTCTGGTACTGATTTGTATGGTGTAGAAATATTCTTGAGGGAGGATGTCTGAAAGAATCATAAGAAACAGTAAGTAGATAAAAGATAAGTCTATTATATTTGAGTAACTAAAGTGGTTAATCATATTTATTAGATTTTATGATTGAAGAATGAGTTTATTAATATCAAATATTTAAGGTACAAAAGAGTGCACACACTAAAATGTCTCGCCAGCTTTACTTTAATTGAATTTATGTTGAAAGTCTGTAATATGAGGGTTTTACTACAAGTTTATCAATGATCCATAAAATGATGTCAAGGTCAGATACACTCTGCTAGGCAGACAAGTAAACCTAACAATCAAACCATACACCAAATATAGTTAGCCTATTGCTTGTTGTATCTGGAGAAGATCTAATTAAAACAAGAAATGATTGTAACATGATGCTGTTACAAAGTCTACCAAACAAAGTCCACATAAGTATAAACCCCTAAGGACTCTCCTTATTGAATAAATTGAGAAAAAAAAGTTCAAGGTCAAAGTTCAAGGTCATAATTTCAGTAGGTCACATGTTCCCATGGTTATTACTGAAGACCCCATGTGTCTATCACTCAAGTAATAATTATTTGAAAATAAAAAAAATTTAAATCCCATAGGGTTCTATAGTAAACCCCTTCTTTCTTTTGCTCCATCAAAATACCCCTTTATAATCCCCATTGCACAAACAAAAAAAAAACTCTGATCGCACCACAATACATGTTAGTTTAACATATTGTTGAACCCTAAGTTAATCTGATTAGCGATTTTGGAGAACAGGTGCAGACAAATTCAAATTTAAAAGTGGTTGAAGAGGAAGAATAATAATAATAATAATAATAATAATAATACTAATAACAAGCATTCTGAGAGTATTGCATGGCAATACATAGTCCCCTACCAGTTAAGAATTCATTGTACTGGAACAAAATGCTAACTTGATCTATAAATTGTCATGGTGTAAACTATATAACACATATCAAGTCAATATCTTCAAGCATGACGAAAAAAAGTGTGGAAAACTGATTATTTGAGTGAATTTTCTAAGTCCAAGGACCATAACTCTGCACAAAATCATCATACCGGAACAAAATTTGAACTTGATCTGTAACTTGTCATGATAAAACTATATACCAATTATTAAATCAATATCTTCAAGCATAACAAAATAAGTGCAGAAAACTGATTATTTGAGTGAATTTTCTAAGTCCAAGGACCATTATTCTGCACAAAATCATCAGACCGGAACAAAATTCAAACTTCATCTATAACTTGTCATGATAAAACTATATACCAATTATTAAATCAATATCTTCAAGCATGACATAAAAAGGTGTTGGAAACTTGATTATTTGAGTGAATTTTCGAAGTCCATGGACCATAACTCTGCACAAAATCATCAGACCGGAACATAATTCGAACTTGATCTGTAACTTGTCATGATAAAACTATATACCAAATTTCAAATCAATATCTTCAAACTATATATACAAATGTAAATTAAATGAAACAAAACCAAATATGGTTGGGTTAAAGAATAGAATAAAGAAATACCAATTTCTTGAATATTATATTGCAAAGAAAAATAATAGAGTCCAAGTGTGTGAAAAATTTTGGTCTCCTTTACATGTAATATTTAATTAATTATTGTTTCATATAAGTGAGAGAATAAAATATCTATATATCATGAGCAAATATTTAGCCTTGAGTTTTTTTTTGTTTTTTTTTTTCTTTAAAATATTTTGTTTTTAAAATGTAAGTCAAGATACATCATGTACATATTGTAGCAAAGCAAATGAGTGAAGAGTATTTGTATTGTATGAGAGAAAGTCAGAGAGCGAGAGAATATAATCAAATAAAATTTATATGTAACCTTAAATACTACATGTATAATTATAAAAGTCAACTTGTCAGTGATATATATTGTATACTGAATTATTTTTTATATGTAACCCCTTGATACCCTTGTCAGGTGGTAGTGTAGGGGTACATGTATATTAAATCCTGACTATTGAAAAACAAATAAAAGATAAAAAAAAATATCTTCAAGCACGAAGAAAAAAATTGTGGAAAACTGATTTGCCGGACTGACGGATGGATGGACAGACAGACAGACAGAGTGCAAACCTAAAGTCCCCTTTCGACTTCATCTGTAGGGGACTAATAATGATAATAACTGAGCAAAACCAATAACTTTGGGAGACTTAAATATTGAACATTGACCAATGAACCATAATAGTATATATAATTGCTTACATCCACTTCATTTGAACTTGGTGGATAGTTGTCTTATTTGCAATCATACCACATCTACTTATTTTATACAGTCGAACTTTGTTATGTCGAAGTCGAAGGGACCTGACCAAAGTATTAGACTTATCCGAGGTTCAACTCATCTGAGGTTGAGTGTGTTGTCATAAATTTGGAATGCATGAAATACTATAAGAGATTTGTGTAATCTAGATACTTTGAACAGTGTGCCTTTTTTCATATGACACTTTATGATTGTGTATTCAATCTCAATATTTTTAAGTCTTTCATAAGAATTGAACACACAAGTATAGATACAAATCATGCACAAATAAAATCAAAAGTTTACACAAATATTTACAAAGGTCAGTCACTATGAATTATGAAATCACTCGCGGAACGAAACAAGTTCTGAACGGTCACTGATGAGGTCTGTCACTGATGAGGTCGTCTGCTTTACATTAAATTGTTATAAATTTATCACAATTGTCTTAATCCTTTTATTTATTGTAATTCATGAATTTTAATTCTAACTATTCATAAATTCGTTTTATTTTGATGGCAGGTGAAATATGTTCAACACATTAACGTTGCACTTGGATGATCAACAAAGGTGTTAATTACCGGTCACCATAAACATGTCATTTTAACTGTTATACAAACAAGTATGTTTACTCAGCTTTAATCTCTTTTGAAAATGATTAGGTTGCATAAGAAATACATCCGATTTGAATTTTTATCATTAGGTCTGCATCTTTTCGAAAATTCTTACTTTCGAACTTCCAGGTCAATTTACATCAATTTTACATCTACAGGACTATAAAATTTACTCGACTTTAACGAGTATTCGAGTCAACAGAGTTCGACTCATCAGAGGTAATTATGCATTGATCAAACAGGAATTTCACTGGGACGAAGAAATTACTTCGACTCAACCAAGTTTTCGACACATTACCGAGTTCGACACAATGAGGTGCGACTGTATTTAATTAATTTTTCTTTAATGACTTCCTCTGACAGAAAACAAAATATAAATAGCCTTTCAAGACATCATAATTAGTTGGACTATAGAGTACCGACCTATATTTCATGCTTCATTATGATTTTGGTTATATTCTCGAACATCAAATTTTCCATTGCTTGATATAATTTATTTTTTTGGAGAACAAAATTATAAAAAAAAAATATCACATGCTCCATAAAATTCTCTACGCCTGAAAAAAGGTCATTTTTATAAAATAAAAAAAAATAAAAATTTCGCTAGCTCACCCCATTTTTTTACATTTAAAAATCCAAAGAACTAAACATTAAATTGGTGTTGCCTTAAACAACCAACCCACATACCAAACATTGTTGACCTATCATAAAAAATTACTTAGGAACATACCTTATCCTGAAGATCTAACATAACAACAGGTACTTAAGGACTAGATGCTGTCTTCAGCTCCAAAAGTCCCTTCCACCTCATTACCATACATTTTTTTCCCAACATTTATTCTTTTTTTTTGTACCATACGTACATGTATTTCAATAATTCCATCTGTTATACTGTCCAGTACTTAGAGTGATTCCTGTCATCCTTTGTATGTATTATAGGTCCATCATTATAAAGAGGTTATTGACTTCCTTGCTTGTAATCCCTTTTTCATGATAAAGATATTAAAGTTACTTACAATAAGATAAAGATCTAATGGTGATGGTCCAAGTAACAGGTCTTTCTCTGTGTCAATCTAAAATATCCCGAAAAAACAAGATTTATATTGAGCAAAATTCACAGAAATAAATTAACAATAAATCTAATTTGGAAAAAAAGTTAAGTTGATTGATTGATTGTTGTGTTAACTATTGTGTTTTCTATTATTTTGTTTATATTATTTTCAGATATATGTTACTTGGTGGGTTTTGTTTATAAGCGTGAGGTTTGGCTAGCCATAAAACCAGGTTCAACCAACCATTTTTTCTTAAAATGTCCTGTACCAAGTCAGGAATATGGCAGTTGTTATCACACAGTCTGTTTCTATGTATGTTGTGTTTGCTTTTGTTGTAGTTCAGTGTTTCTGTTGTTCTGTTGTTTTCCTCTTATAGTTGATGTATTTCCCTCGGTTTTAGTTTGTTACCTAGATTTGTTTTTGCTCAATCGAATCAAGACTATTGAACAGCGGTATACTACTGTTGCCTTTATTTATAGATTAGTAAAGACATGAGATCAGACAATAGAATACAAGCCATAATTAGCCAACAAACAGTGGTAGCAGAGCTAATAAAGATGGCAACGCCAACAGCACCTAGTTACAAGAACCCACCAGGTTTGACCGAAGATAAAAGTTATCAACAATGGAAAAATGAGGTAAAAATGTGGCAACTTGTGACTGATCTTGACAAGAAAAAGAGAGGTCTAGCTTTAGCTTTGTCGTCCCAAGGAAAACCAAGGGAGGTAGCCCTAGAAGTAGATCCCAGTGATTTGAATGTTGATGAAGGAGTAGATAAGCTGATACCTGAGTTGGACAAATTCTTTGAAAAGGATAAAATACTGCTTATATTGTATTTAATAAGTTCCACAGAGAAGAGGATGTAAGCATGTCTGATTATACTATTGAGTTAGAGCAGAGATACAATAAATTTAAGAAACATGATATGGCACTTCCGGATGCAATTCTAGCTTTTAAAAACTTCTGCAGAGTCTGTTGTAACTATAAAATAGGAATCAGCTTTCAGTCAAAGTAATCGTCAGCTGGCATTAACTGCATGTTAACCTTAAATTCGACACGATGAAGTCCGCTCTGAATAGAATAATTGCATCAAAATCTAAACTTGCCCCTAAAGAACCAGAGTCTGTTGTAACTATAAAAGAAGAATCAGCTTTTTGTTAGTGATGGTTATTATCATAGTTGTCTCAGTTCAAGAAGACGATTTTCTCGTAATCAAGCTGATAGATCAAGTAACATTAGTTGACTTAGGACTTAAATGAATCCAGTCTTTAATGGAAATAACTCAAGATGTAGAATATGTGATTCCAAATTTCATTAGATCAAAGATTGTCCACACAAGGGAGCTTGATGTGAATTTAACAGAAAAAGAGAAACGAAAAATACCAAAGGGACATTCAAACCCATAAGTCGAAAATAAACTGACAATGCCATGGCTAAAAAAGAAAAAGATAAACAGACAAACAACAGTACACAAAACACAACATAGAAAGACTGAGCAACACGAACCCCACCAAAAACTGGGGGTGATCTCAGGTGCTCCAGGAGGGTAAGCAGACCCTGCTATACATGTGGCACCCGTCGTGTTGCTCATGTTAGTACAAACCCAGTAATAAATCTAATTTGGTAGGTCAAATTTGGGGAAAAGGGCACGGGATTGTAATTACGACATTTGGAACATATCCGCTATCATCTGTGAAACGGATATTCCATAATGGTCAACCAACTCGTGATGGCGTCCATAAAATTTACAAAGGGATGATTTCAACTTCACCACTTGGAACTCTTGGTTTAATTAAGCTCCCTTATCAGCAGCAACCCTCTATCAAGGAAATCATGATTGGAAATACAAGCCCTAGAATATCGTATCAACTGGGAGATATATACTCCATATGCAGGCACTGCTTGAATATTGCTACATAGAAATGGAAAGTTCACAATTGGGAAGCTGAAATCATCTCTTTTGTCGTAAAGTTTTGTTTTCAACCAACCCTCATTGTCAATTTCTAGATGCAAGTCAAGATATGAGGCAGACTTAACTGTATCTGTTGTAACAGAACATGAGAGTGATGAATCAAATGAAACTGTAAATATACCATTTATTTTTAACAGTTTACCTCTGAGTGATTCTAAAAGGTTGTATGAATTTGTAGAATCACTTGATCCAGGACTTGTTATGAAAGTCATATACCATTCAAGTTTGGTGATGGACAGTCTACTCATATCAGAAAGTGAAAATCCCAGCAATAATTGGGTCAATTAAATGCTCAGTTGAAACAGAAGTGGTTGATTGTGAAATACTGTTACTGTTAAGTAAAACCACTCTTAAGCTAGCAAGCACTATTCTGGATCTCAAATATAACAAGGTTACCATGTTTGGACAGCTAGTTGATGTGAACCTAAGTCAAGTGGTCGTTACTGTATAAGAATTAAAGACAAGTATTATACAAACAGAAACAATAAACTGTTGTCTTGACAAAGAGATATGTCTTGCCTGTTGGCAGAAAATTCAGAAAAAGTCAATCTGATGGACAGCAAGATCGCTAATTAATTCAAAGTCGCTGAACCATAAACTGGTGGGCGAGCGTCGAAATGATTGTCATACTGAGATTTACTGACTATGCAACTTTATAGAAAATATCATTGTCCACCGTAAGTAGTTCTTACAACCTAACTTAAGCAGAAAACTTAACACTGAAAACTGCTTATTAATTCAAAGTCCCTGGACCATGACCAATTGGGCCTTGAAATAGTCGTTGAACTAGTATGAACACTACACTTTTATCTCTTTTGCAAAGTTGATTCTGAAACAAAGACGATTCTTAAAGAAATCTGCTCAAAGTATTAAATCTGCCACAAGTTCCAACTATACCGAACTCCAAGGAAAATTCAAAAGGAAAATCCTTAACCAAATGGCAAAATCAAAAACTCAAACACATCAAACCAATGGAAAACAACTGTCATATTCCTGACTTGGTACAGGCATTTCCTTATGTAGAAAATGGTGGATTAAACCTGGTTTTATAGCTAGCTAAACCTCTCACTTGTATGACAGCATTCCATTATATTGACGTGTGAGCAAAGCAAACGGACATAATAGGTAAAAATGTCAAAAACTGGGGTATAGCGGTCAATAAACTTAATCACTATAAAAACAAATAACTATTTCAACAAAGAAAAACAAAATGGCATATAAACACTCTATCGACATGATAGACAAAGTACATAAACAAAAATGAAAGAAAAGAATACAAACATGACCATACTCCACCATAGCACAATAACACAATGGTGGGATGTACAAGTACTGAGCCAGGTTAAAAGTATATTACCAAAAATGAACTAAACAGTAAAGGTTAAAAATACAAAAACTAATAAAAGGTAATTAAGATGATAAACAAAGCCTGTTAGTACCTACAATCTATACTTCCAAGACCATCATGTATTATTTGTGAAGTTGATACGGAATATTTATCAACAAGGTCTTGGTATCTTCCAATGAACTTATTTAGAAAAAGGACGAGTCATTCTTTGACATAACCCTGGTTCATCAACTTTCTGTTCAGACACTGGTGACGTTTTAAAAAGTCTGAGTAGCAGCTACAAGCTCTTGAATACTGAATGAGTTGGGAAATGTATATCCTATATGCAGGTGAAGTTGGTATATTGCTGCTAAGGTGAGGGAAATTGATAATTTCAAAATTAAAATCATCTCGTTTGTCATAGATTCTGGTACTGAGATGGCCGCTTATGTCAAATATGAGGTGTAAGTCTTAAAATGAGGCAAAGGAAGTCGTGTCAAATCAGAAAAGTTTGGATTGTTAATGGAAAGAACATCATCAATATATCTGAATGTGGAATTAAAAGATCTGGCTTCTTTGATCTTCTTGTTTTTGACAAGTGTCTTAAGGAACTCAGACTCGTATGAAAATAAGAAGAGGTGGGCAAGGAGAGGTGCACAGTTCGTTCCCATAGGAATGACAACAATTTTTTGAAAAAGTCTACCTCCAAACTCAACAAATATGTTGTCAATAAAAAACTCCAGCATTACTGATCACTTGTTCCTCTGTATAGCATGTTTTACCTTTTTATTCACTATTAACAAAATATGCCGCATGGTATCTTAAAGCAATAAATTTAAAGCGTATGCTACCACATGTTTTTGTATGTGGGATTACCTGAGTGCTCACTTATTCCTAGTTCTTTTACAAGACACTCGTAGTAGTAAGATTTACGTACATATACAATATTATTTGAAGCTTTGTCCGCAGGGACAACAACATATTTATCGTGAAGAGATGATAGACATTTCACAGCTTCTTTGTCTCTAAAAATTGTCTTTGGTCGATCATTCACGCAGTTTTTCAACTTATGAATTCAACATTTTAGAAGAGACCTGATTGTTTTGATCCATTCTGACAAAGTTGTCCAGTTCAACTTCTTCTCGTTTAGCCCATGCTCTGGTGTAGCCCTCAATAGAATCCATAATTATTTTGAAGTTATGATTCCAACTGTTGTGTTCGGGTTCTTTGAACTTAGGACCATGAGATATCACCTTTTGGAGATGTTCATGTTGAATAATGTTTAGATCCCAAGTAATAACATGGCCAGAGGGGCAGTAATTATTAGGCGAGTGGGAACAGTCACATGTCAGAGGGTGTTTTAAGTATTCTCCTAAATCGAGGTGCTGCAATGCTTGCTTATAGTTGAATACTTTAGGTTCAATGATTTCAAATTGTAGCAATGGACCTTCATAAAATTGGCCATCACTTTTATTTTGTACATATTATGACTTATTCAGCAGACTGAGTGCAGCTGCAATCATCAGAAGGAAGAATTCTAAAGTTATTGTACACAAGTTCATGCAGATATGGGTTGATGTATATGGTGCTCCTGAAGTTGGTGTTTACACAGATACTGGAGGGGAATTTAATTCAGAGATATTTAGACACATTGAGTAAGAGAATGGAAACAATAAATTCAGCAATTTTTCCATTTGTAAAGGGGCATAACTCTAGAATGGT